TTTATTTTTTTAAGTTTATTTATTTATTTTGAGAGAGAGAGAGCCCAAGCAGAGGAGGAGACAGAAGGAGAATCTCAAGCGGACTCTGTGCGGTCAGCGCAGAGCCTGATATGGGGCTCGAACTCACTAACCATGAGGTTGTAACCTGAGCCGACATCCCGAGTCCGACGGTTAACCAACTGAGCCACCCGGGCACCCCGGGCAGCGAACTCTTGATTCCAGCCCAGGTCGCCATCTCAAGCATCATGAGATCGAGCCCCACGTCGGGCTGTGCGCTGACAGCTCGGAGCCTGCTCGGGATTCTCTCTCTCCCTCTCTGCTCCTCCCCCACTTGCACTCACTCTCAAAGAAATAAACCTAAAAAAAAAAAAAGAAAGAATGGGAGACGTGGATTAAAGTGCCACTTGTTCCGACATTCTAACTGAAAACACGTAAAAGAAAAAACACAATCCTCACGTTAGTTCTAACTGTCAAACTGCTACCTTAAACGCACATTTCCGGAAACACAGCAGTCACCCACACCCCCACTGCCCTCACAAGACCAGTTCTGTGTTTGCCTGTTGACTCGGACGCTTTCCTGCCTTGTCCAGAGTTTATTTTGGGATTTATAGTTCATTAGGCAGTAAACATCTTTACCGTATTCCTGAAACTGGGCACATCTGAGATGCAGAATGTTCCCTTTGGATCCTGAAAGATGCAACTCAGACCATGAAAAGACTATCCCTTTGAGAAGGTCAGTGTCTCCTGTCAGCTTGTAAAGGCAAATGTGAGCAAGCAGTACGAGCCGTCTGGGGACAGAGCAAGCCACCTAAACCACCAGTTTGAGACTGCGTTAACCTGAGGGCCCAGAGGGAAGGCATCAGGGCCTCCACTTACTTCTGAGCCAGTCTGCCGCGGCCCAGGCCCTGTCCCCGCACGGGACGCCCGCAGCACGGCCCCATCCTCTCCGGAGGGGAGGGGGCCCGGGCTCCTGGGGACACCGACCCCGAGCAGTCAGAAAATGTGATGTGTGGTACCAGGCCCTTTTAAAATAGCAAAGCAGGCATTGTGTGTTTATGCACTTCGCCATTACAGATGTTATGAATTTTCGTGAAACCCAGCATTCATAAAAGCAAACGCTCCGCTCTGGGGTTTTAAATAAAAGGCACAAAGAACAAGAAAATCGTTTTTCGGCCTAGAGTGGAAGTCTGCTTCAGCAGAAACTAGAGAGAAGGTCTCTTTGTGAACTCGGGAGGGAAAAGTGGATACATTTCCCTTCGGTGGGGGAAAGCCTAATGACCCATCCTGGGCAGGAAGTCAAGAGGACATTAAAGTAAAGACACTCAGAGCTCCCTCTCCACGAGGCGTGGAACAGACAGAGGAAGGGGCTCACGGGGAGCTTCTTCTGTCTTTACCAAGATACCTCCTCCAGTATCCCGGGCTGATTCTTGGGGTGGCCGGCCCAGAGCACACGCGTGCATATGCATGTCTGTGTGTGTGTGTGTGTGTGTGTGTGTGTGTGTGCCTGTCTCTGTGTCTGTGTATCTGCCTCTGTATCTGTATATATCTGTGTGTGTTACTGTGTGTGTGCGCGCGCCTGTCTGGGACGGGGGCAGGGGGCAGCGTCAGGAGCCAGAAGCCCCCGTCTCGGCTGACGTCACGGCAC